GGGCATTATGAATTTCTGGTGATGCCATTCGGGTTGACTAACGCACCGGCCACTTTTCAAGCTGTCATGAATGACTTGTTTCGACCGTACTTACAAAAATTCGTAGTGGTATTTTTTTATGATATTTTGGTATACAGCAAGTCGTGGGCCGAGCACCGAGAGCATTTGGATCGCGTGGTAAGTATCTTGAAGATGAACCAGTTCAGAGCAAATAAGAAGAAGTGTAGTTTCGGCCAGCCTCAGGTGGAATACCTCGGGCACATCATCTCTCAAGCAGGGGTAGCTATGGACCCCGCCAAAGTCAGTGCGGTGGCAGAATGGCCTCGGCCGAAGTCTGCCCGGGAAGTACGGGGGTTCCTTGGGTTGACCGGTTACTACCGAAGGTTCGTAAAAGAATATGGATTGATTGCACGTCCGCTCACGAATCTTTTAAAAAAGGAAGCCTTGTCTCGTTTTCAATGGACGGAAGAGGCCGAGAAAGCCTTCCGCCGGCTCCAGGAGGCATTGACCGAGGCACCTGTGCTGTCTATGCCCAAATTTGACCGTCTATTTGTAATTGAATGTGATGCATCGGGGACCGGGATTGGGGCAGTGCTGATGCAAGAACGGAGGCCTATTGCTTATTTTAGTAAATCATTGGCCGATAGAACGCTGACTAAATCAGCCTACGAACGGGAGATGATGGGGCTGGCCTTAGCTGTGCAGCATTGGAGGCCATATTTGATCGGGAGAAAATTCATCGTGCGCACAGATCATCGAAGCCTTAAACATCTGCTCACGCAGCGCGTTGCAACGCCTTCCCAACAGGTTTGGGTGGCCAAGTTACTTGGATATGACTTTGAAATTGAGTACGAGACAGGGATTTCTAATGCGGCTGCGGATGCGCTATCTAGAAGAGGTGAGGAAGTAGAGTTGGCAGCAATTAGTATACCAGAATGGCTGGGATTAGCTGACATAGAGGAGGAGCAACAAAACGATGCCTATTTGCGAGGCTTTATGCAGGAGTTGGAGGCCGATCCGAATAGCATGTCGGGCTATGAATTAATGGGTAAGCGGCTGTTCTTCAAAGGACGATTGGTCCTAGCTTCCGACTCGAAGTGGATTCCTTGCCTGCTAAAAGAATTCCATGATACGCCGGCAGGTGGCCATGCGGGAGCCTATCGGACCTACCGAAGACTGGCCATGAATTTAATGTGGAAAGGAATGTTACGTAGGGTGCGGGCTTATGTTGCTCAATGTTTGGTCTGTCAAAAAGTGAAATATGAGACCGCATCACCAGCAGGACTGCTACAACCCCTACCGATTCCCAGCCTGGTATGGGAAGATATATCCATGGACTTCATCACTTGTTTACCCAATTCAAAAGGATACACATCCGTTCTAGTGGTGGTGGACCGTCTATCCAAATATGGGCATTTTATTGCCCTCAAGGCTCCAACTACAGCACGTTCGGTGGCCGAAACATTTGCTAGAGAGAAAGTCAGATTACATGGCATTCCTCGCTCAATTGTAAGTGACCGGGATTCATTATTTATAAGTGCTTTTTGGAAGGAGATCTTTGCCTTATCGGGTACACAATTAAAGTTTAGTTCCGCTTACCACCCGGAGACAGATGGACAGACGGAGGTATTGAATCGGGTATTAGAGGCATATTTGCGATGTTTCACCTGCGAACAGCCAAGGCAGTGGTTACGCTGGCTACCTTGGGGCGAGTATTGGTATAACATCGCGTTTAAAACGGCCGCAGGAATTTCACCATTTGAGGTGGTTTACAAGCGGCCACCTCCTACTATTCGACAATTTCTACCAGAAGAAGGCACGGTGGCAGCCGTGACAGATGTGTTGGGAAGTCGGGACATCATGTTGAGACGCCTAAAAGAGAGTCTACGAATTGCACAACAACGCATGGTGACCCAGGCAAATAAGCATTGCCGAGATGTAACTTTCCAGGTAGGAGACAAGGTGTTCTTAAAGGTTAGACCACACTGTCAAACCACTCTCTCCCGCCAACCATATAATAAGCTCTCGGCCAAGTTTTATGGACCTTTCTTGATTGAAGCACGCATCGGACCCACGGCTTATCGCCTTGCACTACCACCCACTAGCCGTATCCACCCAGTATTTCATGTTTCTCAGCTGCGGAAGGTAATTGGAGATCATCCGGTTGAAAGTGCGTTACCAGAAAGTTTTAGAGTTAGCCAGAAGAAATCCTTAAAACAAGGAAGCAAAATAACAAGGAAGAAGAACTACTGGTAAAATGGGCAGGGCAGCCAACTGATGATGCTACATTGATAGATAAAGCAAGATTTCAGGGCCAATTTCCAGATTTCAACCTTGGGGACAAGGTTCTTCCATGGGAGGATGAAGTTGATACGGAGCAGATCGCTCCTGAGGATCCGCAGGGGGGAGCGACCGAAGGGGATCAGGGTCCTAGGCCCTGGATCGTTTACCGACGGCGAGGACGGGATGGGACCACGTCCGTGGGCTGGGGCGGCCAGCTTAGTGGCTAATTTATTATACTTCTTAATTAATTAGTTATTAGCTTTTATTATGTTTCCTAAATTAAGTTTATTTCCTAGTATGAGTTATTTAGGAGTTTTACCTTAATTAGGAAAAGTAGTCTATAAACCCCTTTAAGATGGTTATTCAAACTATGCTTTTGAAGGAATAAAATTGGTGTTTAAGCTTTAAGCTTCGGGCAATGATTGCAATCGTTGATTGTTATTTTCTGTTCTTATCACATGATCATACACAAGTGAAGAGTCACTTTTTTAGATTGATCTTACTCCAATATAAGAAAAAATGGTTGAGAATAACAAGGACATAGGACCATCCTTGTCTCAAACTCTAAGGAAAGTGGATGATCATAAATGACGAAGTAAGTGTATTTGGACTGCCACTCAACTATCATTAAAATGACTGATTTCCCTACCACCTTCGGCAGCCCACTCAACAAAGACCATGGATATCAAAATATGGGTGATCATTCTTGATGAGCTTGTGGCGGCAGTGATAGCTCTTCCATGAGTGTTGTACTGCCGTCCACACCAACAGTCAGATCTGATGGGTACCGAATAGTATACCAACAAACCATATGTCTCAAGACACATCTCTAGAAATGGAGAACTGATCCTCACAGTTTGAGCTCAAGAATCGGATCATGAAACCATCAAGTGAAATAAGTCAAATAACATCAACAAACACAAACTATCCATAAATTTCAGAGTTGCCGCGTTTGTAAATAAGGTATTTCTTAACATCGGCTTGAAAAAGTATTACCAACGCCAATACTTCCAAACATGAATCTGAAACAACTGTTAACCAAGAATTAGTAATGTTTCACAGTTTCACTTTTATTTATATGTTATTGTTATTTTATGTTTATTCAAGGGAGCAGATTCTATATAAAGCTGTTTTCTAAATTATGTCTTCTAGTGTCTTATAGCTATAATGGTAGGATTTAGGCAGCATTTTCACATATCCTATGTTTTGTTCTACAACTCTCTAATTATTTAGTCATTCCCTACAGAAGTAATGGCCATATCGGGCGTAACCCTCCTCAAGTCTAAGGGTGTGTTTGGGAGATGGGGTTTATGACCTCCATTTTCATGTTTGGGAGTTTATAAAATTGGAGGGGATGGTTTTGGAGGCTTTCGTGACCCTCCAAAACCCGCTAAATGCTCAATTTTTAAGTTCCCCCAATTTGGAGGGTTTTGAAGGATAATTAATGAAATGGTAATTTAAGCTCAATTAAAAATAAATATCAGTTCGATTATTTGAATTCGTCATATCTCAAAGTGATTTTAATTATAATTCATTCAAAAACTCTCTACTTCCAAATTTATTACTCCCAAATACAAAGAAGGACTTCCTCATCCTCCCCTCCCTTTCCCCTCCAACAACATACCTCCAAATCCTTCCCCTCCCCTCCCCTCCAAACTCCCAAGCATACCCTAAGTGTAACTGACAGTATGAGAAAGAGAGTATGTTACAGGCCCGGGTTTAAGATCGTCACAGGATGGTGTGAAGAAGAAAGATAAAAAGTTTCATAGGAAGAAGAACAGTGCATATAATTCAAATTATAATAGTACTAGGAGATGTTGTTGAGTTATCCAGACTCCCTGGCCAAACAGTTAAGCATATAATTCAAGCTTTTATTCAAAAAAATCCTTCTTATAACTTATAAGAGATACGTAGTATGAAATAACAACCACTCCTTAACTAGAAAAGTGGATTCATTATCAAGATAGGAAGTTACAACCACTCCTAAAAAAGTGATCCGTGATATTAAATTGCTAACTGTGCATGCTTCACTTTTTTATTAACCCCAACAACTAATGCATTATTAAACCTAACATAGAACAATCACAGAGGCAATTATTATTAATCCCTCGGTATTTCAAAATTCTCTACATTAGGTTTGGACACAACATTTAAGAGGATAATAATAAGGGTAATGAATAGTGTAGAAAAAGTAGGAGAGAAAGTGGAAAAGTATGAAAGAGAAGATAAAAAGTAGAAAAAGTAAGAGTAGTTGAGTATTTTTAAAGGAAAAAACTTACCAAAAAGGGAAAGTGTAGCAAACTTTTAAATATATCCAAAAAAGAAAGTGTAGCAAACTTTAAAATACGGAGGGAGTATTATTATTATTATTATTGTCCACACTGCAGATGTTTCACATGTAAGCATTATGTTTCTTTTTCTGATTGCAGTGTTGGTAGGTCATATCAAGGAACGTATCATATGTAACTCAGTCACTTCTTTTACACTCGTATATTTTCACATGTGGTGAAGTGTCTAGCACTCTAGCCCAACTTGTGGAGTATCTAGCCCAAGGTTGTGCCGAAGAAATTGCTAGCTTTACTAACCACTAACCAGTATGAGATTGAGGTAGATGATATGTGACAGACAGAGCATGTCTCTCATGCAAAACTAAATTCTCAAAGATATTTAAATTTTTAAACACACGCAAAACAGCTAACCTAAGGATAAATCAATACCTTGTACTTTGCAGCCAAAACGTTTTTCACTATGACGAAATTTATGTCCATTGATACTTTTTCTTGAAAAACTCCTCCCATTGCTTTCACTAGCTTTTTTATTTCAAACTGCAAGTTACATTCAATGAAGAAGAGATCAATAACCATGAATCCAGCTTAAAGGGAGGTTCTAAGATAAATTCTTCTGGATAGAAAATAAGCTGGATTGAAATAACACCAACAGCTACCATTAATACTACCATTAATATTGAGGCAAATGTGCAAGTTTTACACTATGTAGCACGGAAACTCTCGGGAAAGAGGACGTTTCCGTTTCGGAAACTCTACAGAAACTCTTTGAAAACTCTCCAAACAAGCGCTTTTTTAGATAATCACAATCATGCCTTTTAGAGATTTCATGTTTCCTCATGTTACTAGTGTTTCCGTGCAACATAGGTTTTACATAATCACAATCATACCTTTTAGAGATTTCAACCATATGATTTCAATCAATGTGTCCTATGACTTCTAGCTATACATGTAATCTGCGAATGAGGCTGTGAATAACAAATTGAGCAATACCCCCCTCCCCCATGTTTGCAAAAGAATGATATTTCAATTGGGGTACAATGAATTCTAGATGATAGGAAATTTAATAATCCTCACATATGTCCAAATATATATTAACCACGTAAAGACAGTAAAAACTTTCACAAAATCCAAATGAGAAGTACTAGACATGACACAAATCATAATCATGCTTCAAAAAGGCCTTATTGTCATTAAATAGACCCCATCATAAAGTTTTATGATGCCCTCCCTCTATTGTGTTATGCATGTGTAACGCAATAGTGAAATCAAACAAAGAGATATACTTCAAGAGACATAAGGATGTTGTAGTATGATTTTTTCCCCTCAAACCCTCTCATACAAAAGAGCTATTAAATCTATAAATAATCTAAAATAAGTATATAGTTTTGTGACATTCTGATTTTAAATAAGCTGTACATGAAATTTAATGAGAAAAAGTATGTATTTGGCATTTTTTGTTTAGGTAAATATAGTTGAAAAGATTAATTTTATTTGAGTGTTATAAAAAAATGTTCTTTTCATTGGAAATTATAGGCTACAAACATGTTTAGATAATTAGTTCAAGAATAAAACATACTCAATAAATTAGTATATGCATTGTAAATCAACGTTATAATCAACTAAATAAGTGATTTTCCGTTATAAAAACTAAAAAGAATAATAATTTTAACCCGTGCGCGGCACGGGTAAAGATAATAGTTAATAATTAATACATAAGAGGCTTGATGCCCACTATAAGTAGGATAAATGGACGCTAAGTTCTTGGTTTTTCAGTTTTTATAATTTGTTAAGAGAACATCACTACTGTCGTATTATTCATGACAGGTTACTCTCTGGTCTGGCCGCAACCTCCAATAAGGTCTGCCAGCATCCTTATGGTCTTTGCCTTGGCTCAGTCTAAACAGAATTTTTTTTATTTGTAACAACGCAAGTAGTATACCTTTTCGTCCTCCTTAAAACCAGATGCTAGTATTTTGACTCCGTCCATTGCAAGGCAGCATGTAAAACCTTGATTAGGGAGTGGTCTGTGTTCATTCGCACAAAAAAGTACACACCTAGGACCTGGCCAAAGAAATAGAGAATATCAGCTAAAAGGTCGATGCAAGGAAGAGGGTGCTGGATACATGAAGAGAAATACTCGGCTTTTACCGATCAAATTGCAGCCTTTTGACAGGAGTTCATCGAATTTCTCCTGCAATTAGAAAAATACAACTCGATAAGCCATAACTGTGGAATTCAGCCGCTAATTAAATCCAAACTACATATAACTCGAAAAGGCTGGTGAGATACATGATCCATAGAGGAGATGACGTGGTAGTCGTTGGGACCGTTGTGGGATGGGTCGCAGCAGAGGAAGACCTGAGCTCCGTTGAGCTTGAGCGCGTCGTGAAGAGTGTCGAACTGCTCCGGTGGAACCAAGTTGCGCGACATGAACACGTTAGCTCCCTTGAACACCTTGCCCATCATCATCTTCCTCTTTTCTCCAACTATCTGCCTCAATTAGTCATCCATGTAGGGAGAGATATTGCGGGTTTAAAATGGGGAAGAAAACTTCTTAGGTTTTTGCGCGGGAAGAAGTGGAATTTTTTTGTCGAAACCTCTGGTATGTTGATCAATGTAGGTGCTAATCTAGCACTCGAACTCGAGTTACATTTTTTTACGGTCAAAATGCATAGCTTAAGAAGCTGTTCTCTTCGCCTGATCTGAATGTTTCTGATCTGAATTTTTTAAGTTCTGATCTGATCTGATCTGAATTTTTCTGATCTGATCTGATCTGATCTGAATCTTTCTGATCTGATCTGATCTGATCTGAATGTTTCTGATCTGATCTGATCTGATCTGAATCTTTCTGATCTGATCTGAATGTTTCTGATCTGGTCTGATCTGATCTGAATGTTTCTGATCTGATCTGAATCCTTCTGATCTGATCTGAATCTTTCTGATCTGATCTGATTTGAATATTTCTATAATTATAATTATAATTATTATAATTCCAATTACAAATATAATTTAAATAAAATTATAATTATAATCGTAACTATAAAAATAATAATAATAATAATAATAATAATAATTAAAATTAAATTTAAAATGAAAAAATTTATACTTATTACACTAATTATAAATATAGATATAATTATAATTGTAATTATATTTTTAATTATAATTACTTATATAATTATATTTGTAATTATAATTACAATATTTATCTCTATAATTGTAACTATAGTTATCAATATTATTATAATTACTCCGTAAAATAATTACAATAGTAATAATAATAATAATAATATTAATAATTATAATCATAAATTATAATTATAAGTATAATTATAATTATTATAATTATAATTAATAATAATTATAATTATATTAACATTAATTATAATATTATAATATAATAATAGTAATATAAATACAATTAATATTATAATAATGATATTATTATATTCATATTATTATTACAATAATATAATAATAATATGATTATTATTATTATAATTAGTTCTATATATTATAATATTATATTATAATTATAATGATAATGATAATGATAATGATAATGATAATGATGATGATGATGATGATGGTGATGATGATGATGATGATGATGATGATGATGATGATGATGATGATGATGATGATGATGATAATAATAATAATAATAATAGTCTTCTTAATAATTACATTTATATTACTATTATTATATTAAAATATTATAACTATTATTAATATCTTATTTTTGTTATCATATTATTATTAATATTATTAATAATAATTATATAATAATAATCATAATTGTAATAACAATATTAATAATAATAATTAATATAATAATAAAAGTGATAAATCATGTTTGAACTTTTCTGATCTGATCTGATCTGAATGTTTCTGATCTGATCTGAATGTTTCTGATCTGGTCTGATCTGATCTGAATCTTTCTGATCTGATCTGAATCTTTCTGATCTGATCTGATCTGATCTGAATCTTTCTGATCTGATCTGATCTGATCTGAATCTTTCTGATCTGATCTGATCTGAATTTTTCTGATCTGATCTGATCTTAATAAAATAAGAATAAGCAATAAGTAATAAGAATAAGACGAACAGAACAGCACCTAAATTGATATCACAATATTCAAATAGGGAATCAAGTATTTTGTCGTTTGATAGCATTACTATAGCACTTCCAAAGAGAAGGTTAGTTCGAATCCCGTCCCAATTCAAGGATGTAGGTTAGAAAAAATTGTCAAAAAAAAACATTCAGAATACAATCGGAGTACAAATTAAAAAAAAAAAATAGCACTTAAGGAATGCGGAGTAGATGTTTTAAAGTGTTGGTTTTAATTTTATTTTTTATACTCAATATTGGTGTCATATGAAAGATAATAAAAAGTTATGAATTTTTATATATATTTTTGTAACAATCAGAATACAAATAAAAAAGTTACAACACTTTAAAAAAAGAGAAAATTGCCTTGCATAAGACTAAATCATATGCAGTTTACAAAAGTAAGACTGAACCGTGTTTTTTCCATCTGTATGGTTTATTTAGCTCTATTTTAGCAAACATTATTGTTTCTTTCCAATTTTACCCTTCACTCTATTATGTCATTCTAATAAAAACTTCCCCAAATTCATCTCTCCAGCCTCATCTCTCTCGCTAAATCACAACCGATTCACATCTCCGGCTCGACTCGATCATCTCTCTCGGCAAAGGCGTCAGGATCATATCACAACCGCTTCACATCTCCGGATCGAATCAGTTTTGGACGGATACATCGATCAGCTACCTTCTAGCAGACCTCGACTACGAATTCTACTACAGTTGAATCGATAACTATGGTTCTACTGATACTCTGGTTTTGGGAATACAAATAGAGGTATCCCAGGGCACGATAAATAGTGATGGACCTACGGTTGTGACATCCAATGTTCTACCAATTCAATTGACCTTTTGGTTAGCAATGACCTACATATATTAATCGTGGAGTTTCTCGATGGTCTCTTGAGGTAATTTGATCATTGAATATTGTGAACTTCATATATTGTGGTTTGTGTTGCCTGCTCTGTATTATACTATTATAAACATTTATTGTTCATTTATGGACTACTTAACGTCTATGTATTGTTTGTTGCTTTTCAAGTTTAGTTGTGGTCAAACATGCTCCCTCAATATAATGTCCGAGAAGGTCCCCACCATCAAGCCACAATTGATGTAGTTCCTGATATCCAGCAAACATCAATATGAAAATGCATCTAGAAAAGTGTATATTTCGAATTACATTCTTATTCTTCTATTGTTTTCATACTCTACATTCACTTTATACTTACTTTTTGTGTTGTGTATTTTGTTTTAGGGTAAGCGTGCTACTCAATATGAGGTTGAGGTGGTGGACAAAGCAGCATCTAGAAGTGTGGTTGTTGATCTCAAAGACAAAACAAGCTCATGTTGCGAGCTTCAACCGAAGTAGTTCATACATGTTCAGGGTGTTGCCAGTGCAAGTCAACGTCGAGGATTATCGTGTTATGATGACATCTCCAATATTGGTTCTTACTTTGATTCAGATCTTCTTGATTAGATGCAGTCCATAACATGCAATTCACCTATATGCCTCACACGCCAACGTGATTGACATAAAAAGAAGTGTATACCTTGAGCTAGAGAGTTTGCTCCTTGACAGTGGCAACAGTGTTCACATTATAAGAAAGATGGGCATAATAAGAAGCATTGTAGGATTTCTAGTAGATCCATAGTTCTTAAATTCAGTGAATGTACTTTTGTTATTCATACTTAATTGTCATGGTTTTTGGAGTTTCAGTTAATGTACTTGTTGGGGTTTTATCCCGTAGATCCGAAAGCCCAACACACGCTTTGGATATTAAGGACGTTTGGTTCGGTTTAGAAAGTGTATAAAATATAAAGTAGTGAATTAAGAAGTACTCAGAAGCTAAATTGTATTAAGTAATTCGGTGATTACAATTGAACTACCCGAACGGTACGTCGGCACGAGTTTGAATACAATACAAGAGAGATGATTCTATTGCTAAGCTCTGAGTCTAAAAATGATAACCCTTTATAATGTATTAAGCCCAGGTATTTATAATGGAGTGGGGATGGGTGAGATGGACACGTGGCTGACTCCGGTAGGCTGTAACCTCTGCCACGGTATGCACCCATGCCTCCACTTGCTGCTGCCATTTTTTAGCATTAAATGCGGTTTCCACTTGCTGACTACCCGTTCAGATAGCACGTTCGGTGTGCGGGACCCCCTTGAAGGTATTTGATGTTAGTACTTCATTGACTGTCTCAAGTGGACAAATCCACCTGAATGTCGTTCATCTGCCGCCGTGTGGATGTTAAAGTAACGCCCACTCTAGATCTCTTCCACTACTTCTTTTCGGTAATTCCTCAGCAGGCCCATGGGTATCTAGTTGTAAGTGCCCGATCGGGTCATATTTTATTTCCCGATGCCCCCTCCTCCATCAAAGGCTGGAAAGATCGATTCTTCTTTGTCTCTGTCCCGAACGGTCTGATCCCAGGGAAATGAAATGCTTTCCCGCCGAAGTCTCTCGAACCGTTCATCTCCGAGGAACTCAGCAAAGATGTCATTGTTGTGGAGACTTGCGGTTGTTACAAAATCAGGGCCTATCTGACCCCCGATCGGCTTATAAAGGCCAGGATAAGTACTGCCTGTATTCCTGAATCTACTTGACTGAAAACCAAATGTCATGGCCCGGGCGGTCCTTCCCGTGCGAGAAAACATTTTGTTCATCCACGTGCGAACCGCTCGATACTAATTTTTTTTCCTTTGTTTATTTCCAGCTCCCAATCCAGACGCACCTTCGGAATTCGAAGAAGCCCATCCCCAACAACAATTTATGGATGACAGCAGGTTGTTCTCTGTTGGTGTGGAGGATGAGCCCCAAGTCTCCCCTCCGGTTCAGTAGAAGAAGAAAACCAAAAGGAAGAGGTTGAGGAAAGCCGATCAGGCAAGCTCTTCCCAGGCTGCCCCTCCGACTGTTGAGCAACCTGAACCTGCTCAGGAGGTCCAGCCCGTTCAGCAGGTTGCTTCTGAACAGCAAACCTCCCATGCTGACATGCTGATGGACCATCTCTTCTCTGATCAGCAATCTCATCAATTCTCGGGCGAGGATGTGGCCGCCCATCAAGCAGATCTGGCCCGACAGTTTGAACGAATCTTCCTCGAGGATCCTGCTCACGAAATGCTGGAGCGGGGGGCTGTTCGGCGAGCCAAATTTGGTCCACCGCTGCTTTCCTCAACGGATTCACCCTCCCCAATCTCCCGGTTGAGCGGGCTGAGGAGTGTGTAGCCTTGACGGCTCTGAAGGTACTTCCTTTTCTAAGTGTCCTTTTCTTTTATCTTTCATTTCTTCTCGTGTATTCATTTTTCTCTTTTTTCACAGACGGGGGTTTACAGCCTTCAGCTTCGCGAGGCAAGGCTGATCAAGGTGCGGGAGCTGATCGTGGTGAAGGAGAACGCTGAGCATGCTTCTTCTTCTGCTGCCCAGGCCGTCGAGGCCGATCGGAAGGCATTCGCTGATGAGCGGAAGAAAATTTGAAACTGAGTTTGGGGAGCTCTGTGTCAAGGTGGCTTCCCTTCAGGCACAGGTTGCCGCTGCTGAAGCCGCCCAGGTCAAGTTCTCGGAGGCGCCTTCTCAGATATCGGACGGTCCCTCAGAGGTGATGGTGGATCTTTCTGCCATCCGGGAAAGCTTTAAGACTTCTGAAGAGTTTCTCGCTCTGAATGAGGAATATGCTCTCGAGCAGCTCCCCGCTGTCTTTAGGCGGCATCTGGGCAAACTTAGTGGCGACGAACACCAGAAAGAGGGGGTGAGGATGCTCGATCAGCATCCGGTGACCAAGGGGTGGGCCGACACTCTCACCCGGGAGGTCTATGGCGCTGGATGCCAACATATGCTCCAACCGCTCCTTCCCCCTCTTGGAGAAGCTCTTTGGGTCGACAAGTGCATCTATCTGACGTCCCCGAACTGCACCCTGGTCATTCAAATGCTATGAAGGTCCAGCTCGAAAAGTTCAGGCGTGCTTCGGGGATGGAAACTGTTCAGGCAAGTGATGAGGCTGAAGATGATGATGAAGATGACGAGGGGGAGGATGACCTCGAACAGTAGAATAGGTCTGATCATTCATCTGTACTTCCTTTTTCCAATTTTGGACATTGTTTTTGTAATTTCCAGCCAGTAGAGCCGATGAATACATGTGGAAATTTTGCCTATCAGTTTGACTTGTTAGTCCTTTTCTTAATGTTTCTCTTGTGGACTTAGTCGTTTTCTGTGATCTCCAGATGCTTGATTCGATGTATCATGTTCTGTTATAATGATCGGGTTGCCTGTTCGGGATTGTACCCGAAGGTTAGGCCCAGCATTTAGGACTTAGTCATTTTCCTGATTCTTTCTGTTCGTTCGGGCATGTAACCTTTTCTAGCATAAGTCCAATATTTAGGACTTAGCCGTTTCTCTGATTCATCCCTTTTCCTCCGCTCAGTCAGATTCATTTTGACTCATATACTCTTGCATTTTCCCGACCCGTTCGGGGAGATCCAGGTTGGGACTTGTCAAATTCTTCTTGTTTCGGTTCTAACTTCAATTTTCTCATTGGGCCCTAACCAGGGTAATATTAGGAGTTCCTGCTCAGGATCCGGGTTTCCGGGCCCAACTCAGGAAGTCCATCTTGATGCTTGGCACTATGTTTTTTGGTACATCCTGCGTTACTAGGTACATCTTTTTACCCCGTTCGGGGGCAAGTGTTTGTGATTCTTTCTTTGCCCTGTTTGACGACCACGTTTATGATCTTTTGAGCCTGCCCAGCCTGCTTTTGCTGATTTTAAGCCCGTTCGGGTGTTTTTTGCTCCTGGTGGCGCTTTAACTCCCCTCAACTGTTTATGACACGTGTCAACCATTGATTTAGGTTTTTGGCGGCGTCTCTCCTTATATAAGGATGCAGTTGCTTCCTAGTTCCTACTAAGCTTTCTGCTGCTTTCCTAGCTTTTCAACTCCATCAAGCTTTCTCTCTCTAGAATTCGGTTTCCTTTGCGTGTTTATGTCCGTTTTCCTTAGCTCTTCAGATTCTGAGGAAATGGCACCTACACTGATCCGTCGCCCCAGGGGAAAAGCCCACCCCAGTCATCAAGAAGGCCCTTCTGCCCGATCATCAGGTTCCGATGATTCCTCTTTATCTCCTAGAACCAAACAGCCCCTCCCAGATGATGGGTGCATATCTGGTGATGATCTTGCCGTTTATGAGAGGGGGATGCCCGAACGGCCCCCTTGTTATAGTTTAAACTTTCACTGCATTAGGAAGCAACTCCAACGCCTTCGTGCGGATGCCGAACAGTTGCTTCGCCAGTTATTGCCTCCTCCCCGCGAATTTTATGCGGGTTTCATTAGACACCCAATGAGGCACCGTTCAGGATGTGTATTGGTGCACATGGATGCTTTGGTGGCCGGTCTTCGATTCCCCATGCATCCACTCATCATGGAATTTCTCCGCCGGGTGTCAGTGTTGCCGGCACAATTCGTGCCTAGCACCTATAGGATTCTGACCGGCTTCATCGTCCGGTGCCATGACCTGGGGATCTCCCCGAACGTCGATCTCTTCTTGTATTGCTACAGTTATCAGCCGTATTGGACCACTGGGTACCTGCGGCTGGTCGGCCGTGCCTCCTGGACTCTGTTTTCTGATAACCCCACTCCCCCTGAGAATTGGGAAGAGCGTTACTTGTTCGTCCATGTGGGCGAGCCGATCTCGTTTCCTGATCGATGGAATACATATCCCGTTCAGGATTCTGAGCCCAAACTCAATGTTGAGCTACGATGCCAGTATGACAGTTTATTCTGGGATGGCACCAAGAACATCCGTTCCTACCTTACCCCCTCCAAACTTCTGGCCGCCGGCATTGGTAAATTTCAGTTTTGTTGAGTCTATTCGGGATAAGTGCTTTTTCTTGTGCTGATTCTTGTTCATTATTTTTTACAGGTGTAATCCCTCCTACTTCTTCGAAGCGTCCTGCTCCTACCCCCTCAACTGTTCCAACTGGTAGGGGGAAAGGAAAGGTGACTGTGGTTGCTGAGAAATAGGTTCCTCAGCCAGGTTCTTCCGCTGGCCAGGCTACTGAACACGCCAGGAAGCGTCCACGAATTGAGAGTGGTGGTCAGCTGGTCCCGATCGACCATGTGATTGACTTAACGGCTCCTAAAATCGAAACCCTGCACTCTGCTCTTCCTCCTCCCTCGAAGATGGGTTCTACTCCTGGACAGGAAGGCGATCCTGCTCTTTTCGATATCCCGGTCAGTAGTCGAGATTAAAGGGACGGACAAAAGGGAATTAAAGATTAACTAAATTCAGCGATTAAAAAGAAATAAAATAAAATAAAATGCAATTGTGCGAGATTGATTGTTGAATTAAAATAACTAAACTAATGCGAATGAGCGAATAAAATAAATGTTGGTTTCTTTCTAATTAATGACGAAGGGAACAGGGATCGATTCCAGGGTAACCAGATTTCTGGCAGATCAAGCCTAATTACATGAAATTAATTTAATTGAGCCTAGCTAATCATTACTAAGTTCTTACCGCTCTCGCGGCGTAGAGTACAATAATTTTGGGGACCAGACTGATCTCTCATGCGACAGGATCCTAAATTATTGCCAAGACGAGCGAGCTTACGGCCCCTTAATCGCTACTAATCTCTTAGCGAACGATTAAGTGTGTGTGAATGTGTCCTAGAACAAATTAGATCTCTCTTAATTTATTCTACATGCAATTGTAATTCTAGTCGCGATTCTAGGTTACAAAAGATATCAATTAAATTATTCAAACACAAATTAAACGGCATTCATGCAATTAACCCATAAAGAATCTAGCCATACATCATGATTAACCCCTTCATCAATCCCAAATCCCTAATTAAAACTACTCACAATTCATAATTGAAGAATCAATAAAATTGGAATAAAAAGAAATAATTGTCATTAATTAAAAATGTGGAACTTACAAAGAATCCCAAAAGATTGATGAACAAGGCTGAAAAGCCCTCTAAAATTCGTGCTAGACACTCTCTCTAAGCTCCCCCTGAAAACGGGGGTTTACAGACTGTTTAAATAGAAAAATCGGGTGAAATTTGAGCTGAATTAGGATTTTCGGAGCCAGGCACGATGTCAGGCACGATCGTGCCTTCAATCGTGCCTCCGGAGCAAAAACGCGCATTTTGGGCAGGCACGATCGTGCCTCCCTCCAGGCACGATCGTGCCTCCCTCCAGGCACGATCGTGCCTGGCTGGCAGTAACTCCGCGGTGCTTTTCTCTTCAGGCACGGTCGTGTCTGACTTTGAGGGCACGATCATTCCTATTTAACTTCCGAATTTGACAAAACTTCCTTCATGAAAGTTGTAGATAATGAAGTCCTCTATCCACCCCAATTTGCTTAATGTGATTTGAATCATCCAATCAAGAGATATGATCAAAACGGTGGAAGGTGTCTTTCTGAAATCGCAGCAGAGATCATCTGACTTCATCATCTGTTTTCACCTTTTTCCTCTCATATTCTCGCAAAGGTGTGTTCATATCATTTGTAGCCCTTGAAGTTAGCTTTCCTATGGAACTTGAATCGTTTACATTGGATGTTTCGACAAAGAGATATGCTTGAACGATTGACAAAAGGTCATCCTGATCGTCGTTTTCAAGCTTCATTCATCTTTTTTGACCCCGTAGCCAATCCTAGAGCTCTTTTTTCCTTCAAATCTTCATGGTGAATCTTCCGGTGACCTCCAAAGCTATCAAATCATTCTCAAATGCTTCTCAAATCATCCCGATTGTTCCTCAAGTGCCGGGTACCGAACTCTAAAATCCTGATTTTGACTCCAAATGACACAAAACTCGAACCAACGCCTGTTAAACATAACTTGAGCTAAAATTGATACTTGTAACACCTTAAAGCTAGGAAAACCATCAAAATCCGACCCCAACACGCATCAAATGCATGTCCAAATACGGACTTATCAGCCGCTGAGCGGGAAATGACACTTCTTGCTCAGGAGTGGGATGATAGTCAAACTCTTCTGGCTGCCGCTCGCAAGTTGGCCGCATATCTTCATGATCGGGCCAATAAGGGGGATAAGGCCAGGACAAACACGAAGCCACTGAGGCTGCTGGTCTTAAATTCAAGAAGAGCCAGCCCAAAGAGGGTGAGAGGCATCCCACTTCTTATTGTTTGTCAAAGTATCTTCGTGTTGCTCGATGATATTCCTCCATCCGAAGGGCTGTCAAATCCCTCCTTTCTTCTATAAAGTGAAGTTCGGCACGCAAGTTATCTTCGTTTCTCTCTCGATTGTAGTGGATCGCTCGATGAGTCGGGACTAAGACCTCAGTTGGCACTTTGGCCTGAAAACCGTAGGCGAGGGCGAACGGCGTCTCCCATGTGGCTGTTCGGGGTGTTGTTCGGTATGTCCAAATAATGTAATTCAGCTGATCGGGCCAAGTGGAGGAGTAATCTTCTAGCTTCTTTTTCATACCAGCCATGATGGTTCTATTCATGTTCTCCACTTGACCGTTCGCCTGAGGATAAGCCACAGAGGCTCTGGAATGTTTGATTCCCCACTTGATGAGGAAGTCTTCAAAGTTCCTGCTTACGAACTGCCTTACGTTGTCAGTTACCACCTGTTCGGGGAGGCCGAATCTGCAGATAATATTCTGCCAAAGAAACCTCTGGCATTGGAAGTCGGTGATGCTGGCCAGTGGTTCGGCCTCCACCCATTTGGTGAAATAATCAATCCCCACAATCACGTACTTCCTTCCTCCCGAAGTTGTAGCTAGAGGCCCTAGCAAGTCGATCCCCCACCTAGCAAATGGTAATGCAATCTTCATTGGAGTGTAGAAAGTCGCAGGCCGTCCGGGAACTGGTGCGTATAGCTGACATACTTTGCACTTTCTGGTATGAGCGAAGCAGTCCCACAAATTAAATGTGTGCAACTTTTTGTCAGTTCACGAGAATATTTGCCTCCATTTTGTAGGACTATATTTTCCACCTCCGTCTTCTCATCTAAAACAGAACATATGTAGTTCAAAACAAACATTTAAGACAGTCTCATTAAATAATACGGAGTATGATTCACGAACCTGTATGTATCTTGGTAATACAGATGGTAAGCCCAGAAAAAGGTTGGACCCTGAATGACTCTGGAGCAACAAACTGATGCTCCTTCCAGCACTGGAGTAGCCAAGTAATACTAACAAGGGAAAATGGAAACTAATAATCCAACCTTTTAGCGACATTCTTTCAATAATCCCACCTTTTGATTATTCATGAATAATCCAACATTTGCACCTCATCTTCATTCGTTGGTCCCTGATCGGTTAGTGACCTGCTATTCCAAGTTATTTTCTCCGGTGATCAGAGCTGGCGGTGTTGGGGGGCGCAGAGGTGGCAGTGTATTTTGTTTTTTTACGTTTTTTATTTTTTTCAATTTTTCAATTTATTTTTAAACTTTTTATTTTATAAATATTTCATGATATTTTTACGATTTTATGTTATTTTTTACGATTTTATTATGAATTAAAACATTTCAAAAACTAGTGCAAACACACATAAGTAGTCCATTTGTAGCTATCTTTTAGTCTTATTTAGGTAATTCCTCCTATCTCTAAAGACTAAAACGCGGTCAGTGTACCTTTTCAGTCTCCTTAAAACCAGATGCTAGTATTTTGACTCCGTCCATGGCATGGCAGCATGGATTAGGGAGTGGTCTGTGTTCATTCGCACAAAAGAGTACACACCTAGGACCTGGCCAAAGAAGCAGAGAATATCAGCTAAAAAGTCAATGCCCGCAAGGAAGACATTGTCGGTCGGATACATGAAGAGAAATACTCATCGAATTGCAGCCTTTTGACAGGAGCTCATCGAATTTCACCTGCAATTAGAAAAATACAACTCGATAATTAAAGCGTGGAATTCAGCGGGTAATTAAATCCGAAGTATATACATATAATAACTGGAAAAGGCTAGGTGGTGAGATACATATCATGATCCCTAGAGGAGATGACGTGGTAGTCGTTGGGGCCGTTGCGGGATGAGTCGCAGCGGAGGAAGAGCTGAGCTCCGTTAGTTGAGCTTGAGCGCGTCGTGAAGAGTGTCGAATTGCTCCGGCGGAACCAGGTTGCGTGACATGAACACGCGCGTTAGCTCCTTTGAACGCCTTGCCATCATCATCTTCCTCAGTTAATCATTCATGTGCAGCAGGCACTAGGATGAGACATTTATTGCAGTGTATATTACTCTGAAGCCAGTGGAATTAGCTAGCATAATAGCGTGCTATGCACACTTGGATGGTAGCTCGTGCTATACTGCTTGCTCTGCACGAGACCCAGATATGTTGGCAATTAATGTCGTTTTCACAAACTCTAAATTGAATTACAAATTACAATTATGCTATCTCTCTTTTTTATAAGTTTTCTTTCTAAAATATTCAATTCAATTGTCTCACTTTTCCTATGTTTTCTTTTCTCTTTAATAGTTTTCTATTCGATCTCTCATTTTTTTATACATTTTTCATTGTTACATTTTCTTTAAATATTATGTCAAACTCTGTTGCAGCAAACATTACCAGACGAAGTGTATTATGAAACACTTCTTCATGTATAATTTTTTTGTCACATTGGTATCTTTACCATCATGGGCGTCGGGCGTAGTTGGAGGAGCAAATTAGGCTCTGATTCACTCCAAATTCATATGTGATTAAATTATTAGGTTAAAACACAATGTAATTTTTTTTGCAAAAACAATCTTTGTGCCGCCCACTCTCATATGCCACCCTTTCTATGCCAATGTCTACCATCTTTACGTCGAACTCAAAAGACAACTTCACATTTAATGAAGTCAAAAATATTGTCTAGAATTGACACATTTTCCTTGTGCTTATTCATTTTAATATTTAGGGGTGGAATGAAATACCATAACTTCGGTATATCGAACTTATCATATTGAAGGTATACTGACATTTACTTAGCATATTGAAAAATAACAAAATTATCCAAAATTAAGGTATACTGACATTTTTGGTATGATATTAGAATATATTGTGAAAATAAAAAGTATACTGATATGTCGTCATACCGAAAGTCATACTCAAACAATTCTTTTAAAATTATTAAATAATTTTAGTATGTCGCCAATAACACCATTTTTGTATTTCATTAGTCTATGATAAATGTTGTGTTGAGACACATGCATGATAATTTATCAATATCGTACATTTACTGAACTGAAACTTTAGTATACTGAAATACAGTATACCGAAATTTCAATAAGATAACAGACAACAATATGCAATTTTGAACAGCCAAAGTTTTGATACAGTAAATGTATGAGATAATATATTTGGTATTCCGTAGTCCGTACCGAACCATCCTTATTACTGCTCTGTCTCAAATGTGCTCATTTTATGCACATCGTGAATGTTTTTGTTTTGACATATTTTAGTTCCAAATCATATCAAATTAAATCGTTCTAAACTTACATAAATCAAATCATAAAATTTCACTTGAAATTATTATTATTGTTATTGTATTATAAATTCATAAGTATTTTTAAAACATTATTAAATTCCTTTCATTTTAAAATTTTCAAAAACTGAACTTTTTGAACGATAAAAAAAACTGAACTTTTTTATTTTTTACTAAATAAGAAATGGAAAAAATCAATATGAGGATTGCGCAACATATGCTATCTATCTTGACAATGTACCAAAAAGAGACAAGTGTCATTTTTGTAAGGCATTTGTGGGTTTTACATGGAACATGCATTGTTTTTCCATGTTTGCTATTAATTACGGAGTAATATATTGCGTTCATGTTCGTTTGTACTTATCATTTATGTATAAGACAAAGTAAAGAATGTGAAATTGAAATACCATATCTTTTTTATGAATAAAAGAATATTACATTAACTATATTTCTGAACTTTATTATTCCTAATTGAAAGATGTATTTTCAAGAGCAGTTATCATAATAAGAAGTCGGGGGAGCGTGGGCTGGCACGCACTCGACCAATACCAACGTTGGCTGTATAAATACATTAAAACGCTCGAATACGGTCAATAATCGCTCGGCCATAAATGATCGAACAATCTGTTAGGACAGAGAAGGTGTTTCAGACAGAGATAACGGACATTTGTGATTTCAGAGAGAGAGAGAGAGAGAGCCTGAGAAGAGGTTTGCTTGTTTTATACAGAGGAAGTTGCACTGCGAAGAAAGGGAGGAAGAAGCCGTTTTCCGATCTGGAATGAGACTTGCCGGGAAATGTAGTGCCGTTGAAGGCAGTAATGAGGGTGAGAGTACTAGTGGTGGCTGCAGCGGTGACGCCGTCTGCGGAGGGGGAAGAGGATTGGTGGCGGTAGTGGGGGTGAAATTGGATTCGGGGAGTAAGGAACTATTGACTTGGGTCCTGGTTAAAATTGCCCAGCCTGGAGATAGCGTCATTGCCCTGCATATCTTCAATCCTGATAGCGGTATGCCGATTCGTGCACATTTTTTTTTTGTTATGTTTATGTATGGTATACACTTCATTGTATGTCATAGTCATATGCTCATATATAAATGTTTCAGAACTCTGTAGATTTTGCAATTCTCTGTCTGGATTTAACGTTTTCTTTTCATGATTTCCGTGTTTCACTTAATTGTTCACCTTGCTGTTTTACGCGGGAGAAGATAAGTCGGAGATGCTCGCACTGGTGAAGACTCTTGACTCAATGATGGCCGCTTATGAAGGCTTCTGCAACTTAAAACAGGTTAACTTACCCGACTAATTACTTCTATCTTTGTATTTTTTACTGTTTAGTTTTGGTTTATGGTGATTGTGGTAAACCCTTGTGTTTCCTTTTTTACGGAAATGGCCTAGTGTATTTAATATGTGAAGCGAAACCGGTAAAATGTAGGCAAATGGATGATCTGTTAAACAATTACTCCGTATTTAATTATTATTGCTATTTGTAACCAAGGAAGGCTTATAGCGAACTTCTTACAACCCTGTCACCTATTGTGTGGAATTTTATCTGAAACCTCTCTCTTCTTTGATGGAGATTGAACTTGTTAGGTATCCAAGCAATTAATCCCTCAAAGCGGAAAGCTTAGTGAAGGGAACACTCATCCTCTCTCTATCTATGCTTTATAGGTTAATCTTAAGCTCAAGGTGTGTAGAGGGTCGCCAGCTCGTAAGGTTCTGGCTAATGAGGCAATTGTCTACAAAGCACCAATTTTGGTTGTTGGTACTTCAAGCACCCACCATAGTATTAGATCATCGGTTTCACTTGCAAAGTACTGTGCCAGGAAGGTTGGCAAGAGCATCTCAGTTATTGCTGTCAATAATGGTAAGGTTGTCTTTCAGAGAGTAGCTGCTACTTCTATTGGCCAGGGATCACACATGTTTGATGTGCTTGAATCGAGTTCGAAGAGTAAGACCTTGACTAAAAGTCCTTTGAGTTTCCCTCCAAGGGCAGATCCAGAGGACAGTTCTTTCACACAGCTACCATTGTCAAATAGTGGCAAAGCGTGTACTTCTCTAGCCTTGGTACCTTATAAGACAATGGATGTGCGAGACTCAAATTCAGGATCAGCATTGCTCAGAAAAGTATTTCATCAGAACACAAAATCTGGTAAGCGTGCTGCAAAAACGTCTTCTGAATTGCAGTGGGTTAGAGAAATACAATGTGAACAATCTCTCAGAGTTACCCACCTTGTGGATGATAAACAAAGTGTACATGATGAGGAGTATCTTCCTTCAAACTCCAATGTTGTAGAAGGTTCAAATGAGAACACCAGCTTTCAAATTCACAAGGAAGTAGAGTGCCTTTCCGAGAAGTATTCACCAATATGCAGGCTGTTTGGTTATCAGGAACTTCTGACAGCAACTTCTAATTTTCTGAATGGTCTGTCTCTGTATTCACATTTTGCTTGTCACTTCATGATTTCAGGTTCTGATATTACTCAATTACATTTTCAGAAAATTTAATTGGAAAAGGTGGCAGCAGCAAGGTATACAAAGGGTGTCTTCCAGATGGGATGGAGTTCGCAGTGAAGATTTTTAAGCCATCAGAAGTTGTAGTAAAACAATTTTGTTCAGAAATAGAGATCATTACAGGCTTGCATCACAAACACATTATTTCACTTCTTGGGTTTTGCATTGAAGACAATAACCTTATGTTAGTTTATGATCTTTTAACCCGAGGAAGCCTTGAAGATAATCTCCATGGTATTTATTACTTGAAAACTCCTGTTTTCTGTAGTTACAACAGCTAGAGGTCCTGCAAATTTTTTATAATAATTTTGATTTACATATTTTGAATTAGGTACTCAAAACATCGGGAAGTCATTTGGTTGGCGCGAGAGATACAAGGTTGCATTAGGGGTCGCTGAGGCATTGGAACATCTGCATAATTCAGCATCAATCATTCACAGGGATGTAAAATCTTCAAACATTCTTCTCTCATATGATTTTGAACCAAAGGTACTGTGCTTTGAGTCTTGACATTGAAAAGTTTGTACAAATCATATATCAAGATGTTCACACTTAATTTTTCTCTTGCAGCTATCAGATTTTGGGCTTGCAACATTAGCTTCTGTTTCTTCATGTGATTTAGATGGCACTGACATTGCTGGTACATTTGGGTAAGTTGGGCATCATCCTCACAAACCGTATGTTGTTTATTGTTGATTTTCTGTAACCTTCTTCAATTGGGCAGCTACATGGCTCCAGAATATTTTATGCATGGAAAAATTAATGAAAAGGTTGATGTCTATGCATTCGGTGTGGTACTTCTTGAACTTTTATCTGGTAGAAAGCCGATTGACCATACAAATTCTAAAGGCCAGGAGAGTTTGGTTATATGGGTAAGTTATTTTCCTAACAAACTGAACATGCGATTTTGCTAACCGGTTGCTGCAAATAACATTATATATCTACTCACTCTTAGGCAAAGCAAATACTGACGGACGGGAAATCTACTGATTTACTTGATTTAAGCCTGATTGAAACATATGAGCGTGATGAGTTTGAGAGGATGGTATTAGCTGCCACCCTTAGTATCAAACGGGCACCCAGACTCCGTCCTCCAATTGACATAGTAAGTGCGGGTGTTTTCTTCCAAGTTGCATAGAGGAGACTGATATGTTTGTTCATACCTTAATCATAGCAGTTTGCATATTTGAATAATACTACAGGTTGTAAAGCTCCTTCAAGGCGAAGAAGAGGCCATTGATTGGGCAAGGCAACAGGTGAACGGATCAGAGGAAGTAGATGCAGATGATGAACAACAGCCCCCTCCAGCAAACATACAATCCTTTATTAACCTTGCCTTGCAAAATTTGGACAGTGATTCTCTATCAAGTTGTAGCTCTGATCATAACATATCTGTAGAGGATTACTTGTGTGGTAGATATAGCCGTTCCTCAAGCTTCGAATAATTATTCTTTGTCATAGCAGACCTTCTCATGGCTCCTGAAACATGTCTACATCTATGGAGAAGAGAGGCAACTAACAAGCCACATGAAATTCCTTATTGTAGCATTTATACTTGCATATTGTAGCATTTATACAGGAAGATGTAGTAGTAAACAGTTTCACATTATGTTAAAATAAAGCAATCAATAGCAACATAATCTTTAGCAGTGCAAAATAAATCCTAGATTCAAGTAAAGGAATGGTAAAATTTAAAATTATACCACAGTACCACACATGCAGATCATTTATCAAAGAGGGAAACATATTCTTCTTTAGTTTTGGGATAACTTAAAAAAGAAATACTCGTATTATTTTGTAACAAAAGTAGTAATTGATAATTTGACACGGTAGTAGAAGAATAAATTCAATATAACTAGGGATTGACAAGGTTGCAACTCTAAACCGGACTCGAATTGGCTGGCTATTAACTAAATAAAGGGAGATTTCCCAAAATAGGAGTAAACATGTTTTGAGATTCAACATGGCAATACTTATTATAATTTAAGACAATATTTTTCAATCATGCCCGTAATGACTTCTATTTGGAGAAGAAAAAACACATTATTCCTATTTCGAAAATCCAAAAGTTGTTTACTCATATTTAGGGCAATTTCTCACAAATAAAAACTACCCCAATTTCTTCTAAGAACTGAAGTTGATGGTTCTTGTTCCTCTTCTGTCCACCACAAATTTATCTTTGAAATCCAATTTGGAACTGGCCAAGTACCCGACACGAACTGAAAACCAATCTGGAATCCTTAAGGAGGGTAGTTCTGGTTGTACCATATGGTTGTGTGGGACCCGACATTGGCCAGTTTGGAACCTGAACTGGCCCTGTCTACCCCTACCAGGAATTACCACGACTGGACAATGGGCGAAACTCACATAACAAACAAATTTGAGAAAGATGAGTTGAATAACACAACAAAGAATGAACCAAACTACCAGGAGAATTGTGGGTCAGTCAACTGCATGTTGCTTCTATAATACATTAACATTTTGAGATGCATTGGAAAACAACACGAAGGATGTGTACAATATTGGAGCGACCATATATTTGCATTAAAGCAAGCTGCATTGCATAATCACCCAATAGAAAATGAGAAGATGGGTCAAACTTTTAACTTGCAGCTGTGCCTAAAAACTAGTATTGCCAAAAAGTGGGTTTCAGCTTCACACCGCTTCTACTGCAAGTGGAATTTCCGGTCGCCTGTTTGCAGCACCAATGTCAACTGGAGGAGCACCCTGTTTCCCTGTATGCTCACGGGCCTTCCTTTTCTTAGTTTCAAGAATGATAAGAAGTGCTGTAATGTCAGCAGGATTTACTCCACCTACTCTACTCGCCTGGCCAATGGTTTGGGGCCTGACCTATAAACATGAAACAACTCACCTAATGCCAATGACTTTGGGACCAATGCTTTAGGTTTTAGTTAATCAGAAAGTAAAGGCAGGCCGTCAAGATGAACAGACCAACACTAGGTTTTAGTTAACAAGAACAGACCTTTGAGAGTTTCTCTCGTGCTTCAAGTGACAAAGTGCCAATGGCATAATAATCAATGCTCTCAGGGATTAGTTTATGCTGTTGATGAACCATCTAGAAGCAGAAAACGGGATCAAACAACCACCAAAGGAACATAGCTAGCAGCTATAGATAAGTCATAGAATTGGATAAGAATATGAAAATTTAGCACATATGAAAGAGAAAGGCACGAGGCCATTGGTAAACCTGTTTGAGTTGGAGTTGCTGGCGAGCGATGAAGCCTTCATACTTGATGTCAATCTCTACGCACAGTTTCTCTGCTCTGGATAGAAGTTGATTTCCAAAACCATGCTTATCAAAGACCTCATACTGCACATGTGGTTTCTTAAGGAGGCTCTCCAATGTTGAGGAATCCTTAACTGACTGATGAGAAATAGATGTAACTTCAGCAGCCAAATCTCCACCTGAAGTCCCACTTCATGTAAGAGCTAGGCACATGTTTGTTACCCAACATATCTCTCTCTCTTTTGTTTTATTTATTTATTTAGAAAAAATGGATGGTACAGAAAATGCATTGACAAGAAGTACATTAGCCTAGATAGGAGTAAACACTGCCCAAATTTAAAAAGGACCATCTAAGTCTTTTCCATACAAATGAGCTCTTCCTCCTATTTTACCCCTCCTACAGTTTTTACAATAAGTACTACAACAGCCTATTTTACTTTTATCTCCCCACCCCTTCTTTGAATGCTGCTTCAAATAAGAGAAAGCAGACAGCAACAGAGATGGTTGCAGAGGCGAGCATCTCCTTCCTGTCTCTGCTGCAACTTCGTCAAGTTGCAGCAGCTCGAGCAAGCTATGCTTTTCATCCTTTTTCTTTCTATGTGGTAGATCCGGCATTCAACGGAGTTCATTCTTTTTTCTCCGTGACTTTCATTGCCTGATTTCTTCTATTTATTTTTTCGGTTTGTTTTTTTCCATCGGTTTTCTTGATTTTCTTTTGTTATTAATATTAGGCACAGAGATGACATCAATTTTATGATATGGCCAATATAGAACATCTGTTACTGATATATTGCAGTGTTGCTACATATTCATCTTAGTTTGTGTCAATATGGTTTTAGGATGACAGTATTTATCCAGCAGTTGTTGAATCCAGGATGACAGTGAGCCAGACTCGAGCAACTGCCGCCAGAGGATGGAAGTATTTGGAGGAAGTCAAGCGGCGTTTGTCGGAGTCCGGTGAGAGTTGATTTTATTTTAAGTTTTGTTTCATAAAAAAATAAACTGTATAGTAAGGGTATTTTTGTCCATCTACAAAGTGGATGAAAGTGGTTGCTCCTAATTTGGGAATTATAATATTGCAGTCCTCTTTAGGGAAAACACGTGTGTTTTACTCCTATTTAGGAAAATATCTCATATAAATACAAAAAGGGAGGGAAAATGGCTGTTGGGGTCAAGAACCTGAAACCCTGACTGTCTTCAACCTCCTCTTCTCTTCTACTATTTTAGTTTGCTTGTCCTCATAAATAGCCCATCGCCTATCATCTATCAAACCAATTTCACGACCAACAGGAGTCAGTCGACTATCAGCATTATCAGAGCGAAGAAGCAAACGATGTTCTGAGCGGCTGAAGAGCATTTAATTAAAAAAAAAGTCAGTGTGTCAGACCAAAAGAATGCATCATCTCTGTCGCATCGGCAGGTGGTGATGGACTCATGGACTAGAACTTGAAGTCAAGGACATGGTTAAGAACAAGAAGGACATCACACACTATACGAAGAAATCAATTTCCAGCTTTAACTTAATGCAGACTATAACAGAACAATCAATGCCTGTTGTAATTTAAGGAATGAAATTTTACTCAATACTGTAAATAAAATGCTATTTTCCCGGATCATCAACATGTGTATTTCATTAGGAAATGATTGGCTATTTCTTACCCAGTCAACATGCGGTAAGGCTCTCGGAGATCTTTCGTGACCAGATCATCAATCAGTGTCCCTATGTAACTGCTTTCCCTCTCTAGAACAATTAGGGATTTTCCATCCGAATGTCTAGCAGCATTAATCCCAGAAATAATTCCCTATCAGAAAGAAAAACATAAAAGGGTACATTAGAACCAATTGGTGAACAATGTTGCAGCCTTCCTACATATTCTTATAGTAACAAATTGTTACGAGCGTGGTTGGGAATGTAACAAATTGAGAGAGATCACATGTATGTTCAAACCTGTGCTGCAGCTTCTTCATAACCCGTTGTCCCATTTATTTGTCCAGAGAAAAAAAGTCCTTCTATTTTTTTGGTCATCAGGGACCTCAAACACTGATAAGCAGGCAAGTAGTCATATTCGACAGCATAAGCAGGCCTCAACATAGTACAGTTCTCCAGTCCAGGCAAAGTTTGTAATAGTGGCAACTGGAGTCTTTCAGGTAAACCAGTAGAAAAGCCCTGTAAATTTGTCAAACTGAAGTACTTCAAAACCAAAGCCATTCATTTATCAGTATAATATCTGTGAAGGGAACTCAAGAATTAGCATTGCAGCAGTTACTTAACCAAAATTAAGCAACCCACATTGAAAAACATCATCTCAGAGTCGCTAACCAAAAGACAGATGCATGCAAAACATTTGTTGTTTACTCAATTGTTCACAATTTTGCGAAGTATTTCAAGTTGGTGCAATCCAATCCCTCTTGTTTAAAAGGGGCTCAATTGAGTCCCTCATGCTCTAACTCAAATTCAAAATGATAACATTATGGTTGAGATGAAAAGGGAAAGGATGTCCATGTTTCTATGGAACTGCAAGAGATGCCCATGTTTAATGACCCCATCATTAGGATATGAGAGACTTAATTGACCATTTTGAAACAATTAAGGGGTTAGCTTAAACTAAATTAACAATGAGAGCTACATTGCCTGTTAGGGGGGGGGGGGGGGGACAAAACACTAATTAGATTGGAAATACACCAAATGTTCTTTATCAAAAGTTTTTAAATTTTACAACACACACATATACATATAAGATTTACATAAGTTCAAAATATGCAAAATAGTACTACGTATATTGTTTCAGAAAATAGCAGATTTTCTTAAAGTAATTAGTAGAGTATGTAAGTCATCAAGGGTCATTAGAGAAGAAGAAAACCTGCACATATAGCTCAGGAACACTCCTGCCCTCTGGTTCAAGGAATATCTGATGCGACTCTTTATCTTGAAATCTTACTATCTATAGCACACAGTAAACTATATCAGCAGGATAGCAAACAAGTAAAGCATCCCCCCTCTCCCCATCTGATGAGAGAAAAAGGGCATTATAGTGCCAATTCAAAGGTAAAGCTACTGTAGAAAATAACCCAGTTATTCTTTTTGTCTTAAGTAACATCAGATGAATTAATAGAAATGGTCCATTAAGCGGGGGGGGGGGGGGGGATGTAACTGGTATATTTCACCTGATGTTTAAATCAAATTTTGAATCATTTATACGCTGAATTTCATTCCATGGACAATAAAAATGAGACGCCACCTATCCAAAATGAATAATAAAAAATGAGGAAGCTTATTATAGAAGAATACGAAGCATACTTTGTCCTCGATGGAAGGACAGTATCGAGGCCCCTTGGCCTCGACCCATCCTCCATAAGTGGGGGTTTCGTGCAAATTATCCCTAATAAGCTGATGAGTTCTCTTCGTGGTATGTGTAAGATGGCAACACATCTGCTCTCTTTCTATGTGGAAATCGGGATCAAAACTGAACCAGCTCACCTGTATTGTATAAACATTAGATTTTTGCATGAATAGCATACACGTAAGACAGGTAATATCACAATACAGGACTAAAAAATGTCAGCCATATCACATTTTAAACTATCCTAATGATTTACGAGATAGTCAATACACAAGACAGCTAGAGAGCAAATAAAATTTCTAATTTTCTATAATCCAACTATGGAGACTTTTCCACCATTAGCATACAGGTAGTTCACATTAGGAGTTGAGGAATTCAGGGCCATTCCATGATATACAGGGACATAAATAGCTTGGAGGCAGGAAGTGAACATGAAATTGATGATATGCTTCATTATCTAGACACTAGACATGCCTAAACAAATGGAGCTCATTCTTTAGTCGCTGTTGGGAATTGAAAAGTTACCCGTCCAGACAGGATGTAACGATACTACAAGACACTTGGTACCCTGTTTTCGGCATCTCAATCATCATTTACCCCAGTGCCGCAAAGGCTCCCACCTACGGTGGGGTAAGGGGGGGTCGGATGTACGCACTACGCAGTCTTACCCCTGTACCAAAGCAGGGAGAGACTGTTTCCGGATGACCCATTATGAGAATCGCGTCCAAAATTGCATGGACTGACTGTTGCTTCATAACAAAGAAGAGCAGACAGTTTGGTGAGCCATTTTGCTTTATTCCATCATATTCTAAGTTAATTTATAGAGATAACATACTAAGTTCAATATGATCAACTCATATTATCTAGAAACACTACATGTTTATTAAGGGAACATACCGCTTCATCTCCGTACTGAGGATCTAATTTGGAGAAGTCTACTGTTCTGCAGTCTACACGTGCAGGTGTGCCAGTTTTCAGTCTATCAGTCTCAAATCCCAGACGTTGTAAATTTTCAGTCAAACCATGTGAAGCTGATTCACCCGCTCTCCCTGCAGGCATTGAAGCTCTACCAACCCACATTTTTCCACTCATAAATGTTCCAGTAGTAAGTACCACAGAAGGTGCGTAGAAGTTCATTCCAAAGTATGTGCTAACCCCTTCAACATTGTCATTATTCCCAAGCAAAATATCTACAACCATTGCCTCTCTTATATAAAGATTTGGGGTGCTGCAAATGGGAATCACTACTTAGAAGAAAAACTTGTAAACCAGGTCCCCTCGTAAAGTCTAGAAGGATTTATACCATACCAGCCTAGATTTTATATATGTGTGTATATATATATATATATGTGTGTGTGTGTGTGACAACAACATTAGGCAAGAGTGCAAGACATTCCGAACAGAGCAGGAGCAAGAAACATTTAAACTAGACCATATCAGACCAGATTGCCAAGTCTTCAAAAAATCAGACCAGATTACAATCTTTAGGCAAAGAGAACATTTCCTAACTCCTAAGTCCTGCTTCGAGAAAGCCAATGAGTCAAGGAAGGTACAAATATGCACAAAAAATTTGTTAGAAAAATCATAAAGAGCTTAGGGTTTGATCCTTATAAATGCTCGTGATAAAAAAAAAGTTAATTCCACATTAATATAGCAAAGTAGGAAATAAAGAAAGGGATCAGTGACCAAAAATGACAACAACAAGCCTACCATCTTAATACATTTGGTTTTTGTTTCCCTTTGCATAGATGGATTTCAGAGAAAACTACTTGTGCATTCACTTGATTTAAAGAAAATAGATGAAGAAACTTACCTTTCTACAATCTTTTTCATTTCCAAAGCATACTCCCTCTTATCAGTTTGTGCACGCAATGCCCAAACAGCGGGGCCTCTGGAGACATTGAGGATACGTTTCTGCAGATAGCATCTAAAAAATAAAAATATAAGTTCAGAATCAGTTCCTGAAAACTAAATGAAGCAAGATAATTGTGTTTTCTCTCTAAACTAAAGGCATCTATTACATGATTGTAAATTCAGGCATGCAGTTACCTAGTTTTTGTATCGGGAAACATCAATGAAAAGTTGAAAACTTATCCAGGCTTCCACTTCATTTGAAACATTTGTACACTACAAAAAAGTTTCTTGTGGGAGAATCCATTGGGTGATGTGTAGGGAAATACATAGAGAAGTCCAATTTTAAAAAATATGAGGGATCTGACGATATCCCAATGGAATTTTTGATGAAAAACATAACGCTTGAGGAAGAGTGGTAGGAAAAGGTTCGTGGAGAAAGTCTTGATTAGTTTCATTCTGTAAAAGACTAAAATGTTATTCCATACTAGCAATATCAACCGCTAAAATTAGTTTTTACTTCAGAAACACACAAGCAAATATATTATGTGTATTCTTGTGATTTATTACCTTTTAAACTAAACATCAATATTGGCTTATTACCTTTTAAACTAAACATCAATATTGTCTTATTACCTTTTAAGCCAAGAATTACATGTATAAAATGTTGTAAGGACTAAGAATTCAATATAAATAAGGCACACACATGTACATTTAGGTCATAGTAGTAAACATCCATGATTCCCAGGGGGAATTGGGCCCATGCCCCCTATTAGATACACCTATGGCCAAGACCTTCTAACACATAGCTGAATAATCATTTTACCTAGACCTCAATGTTGTCAGCTGATGCATAACCAGCTAGTTATTTTTTCTATTGATTTATATAAGTATTTATTTTGACTCTAATAATTCATCTAGCTTGTGCACCTAGCTAACATATTTACTCAATTTAAAAAAAAAAAGTATACTTCTAGAAACACCCCTATGAGTTCACAGGACTCCATCTTGGCCTTGTTTTAGCCGAGTGAAGCTAAAACAGTTCAGCCATAGGCCCATTGCCCCTCGTAGCAAGTGTATAAACATAAGCTGATAAGCATGCAGCTACTTATGCCTTATGGTTACCTATCCGCTACCTTTCCAATTTCACCGCCAAGTGCATCAACTTCATGTACCAGCTGAGACTTTGCAGGCCCACCAACAGCTGGGTTACAAGGCTGCGATGATTTCCAAAACAGACTATATTCAAGAGCATAAAGAAATTCAAAGATTAAACAACACCCGATACTCAGGTAAACAGTAGTCATTAGTGCATAATGAGACATTTAATTGACCGAAAAAGTTTTTCTTTTATGCAATAGTGTAACTATAGAAACATGTAAACTCTAGAGATCCTTTTTATTACTGATATGACTTCTTCAAACTCTAAACATGGTCTTCAAACTTCAAGATCAAAATCTTGGATGATCAAAATTAAAAGAAGACTAGAAAATGATTAAAGCAGCCTGCAAAGGAACTGTTCTTCGCGATGCTATGTGCAGACATGAAGAATGAGCAACATATTTCTTATTAATTGTCAAAATAAGGAAATTTGTATGTTAGCGACACCAAGAAAAACTCTTATACAATTCTTTATATAGCACATATAAATAAAAAAGAAAAGTATGTCCCGTCTTAAGCTTTTCATTGAAAAATGGCACGGTTATTTAGACAATAATTAAATAAGGTAATTCGAGTATATTTTGAGAAGTAGTTTTTATAGATATATAAAATAATGAGACCATTAATTATAATTATGGTGTTATAGGTGTATCATTTTTAATATTTGATGATTAAGTGGTAGAGTGCTAATTATTTCATAAAATAGAAATGGGAACCTTTACTTGAAATGTACAAAAGGGGCAAGTCAGAAGCTGGGGAAGGAGGGACTATATATCCACACAGGCACAAAATAGAACAACGCACAGTTTCAAAGACAGAAAAGTATAACCAAGGCACAAAATAAGATTCTTCGTATAAAAATAGTAGCCAGAAACCTGCAAATTCAGTTGCCTACCTGCCACGCAATGCGGTCAATGTTAAGTGTAAGAAGCAGTGTTTTGGCCCCTAGTCTTGCCGAAGCCAAAGCTGCCTCGCAGCCGGCATGACCTCCTCCCACGACGATCACGTCATATCTCTCATTACCCACTTCACCATAGCTATATGGCTCTGGAAAAACAAATATAGTAACAAAAAAAACCACTAAAATAACAAATAACAAAGTATGGATCATTTGAGCTGTCCTGCTCACAAATTGCCTAACAGAGGGAGGAAAAAAAACACAAATTGACCAAATAATTTAAGAAGTTACCTTGAGAGCTCAAATCGTTGGCAGTGCAAAGCTGCCGTGCGTTGGGGTAGAGTGTACTGAATAGGCTGGGCAAGCGCACGTTCCGGCAAGGTCTGAGGAGTTGAGTTTGCTTATGAATAACAGGAAACGATGGGCGGAACTGCAAGACGAATCGACTCAGTGTCGGATACAGAGTGGCTGCCATTTCGAGGAAGCCAGAGGAGAGACAATGAATTCTTTTGTTAAATCCACGAAACTGAAGAATGAGAGGCAAGGACAATTTTATCCTTTTTTCATTTTTTTGTTAAGCCACTTCTAACTTCTAAGCATACACTATAGTTTTTTTTTATCATGAAAGAGCGATTGTTTTATTAAAATCGAAAACAAACACAAGACAATCTTCATATATAATTTACAAATCCAATCACGAATAAAAGGAGTAGATTTAGAGTTAGTTACTTCTTCATACAAAAACAACATGACTCGTTAAACCTGAAACGGACAAATTTAGGCCTATAACAACCGGAACAGAAACCCTGCATGTCAAAAGAACTCCAAAAATCCAAACATTCAAACCAAATCTACTCGGACTAAAACAGAGACAATTACTACTGAGAAGATAATAGTATTGAAATAAAATCTTTTTACAAAGCTCTTTCTGGTATGGAGGTAGTTTCAGAGGAGGACGAGCTCTTGCAATATGAGTGAATACCAACTAGAGCTGAGCAAAACTCGAACCGACCCGCAAAACCCGAAGTTTTTTTTGGATAATACCCGAACTGACGTGGATATCCGACCCGAAAAACCCGAAACCGAAAATCCGATTAGTATTGGGCCTAGACCGGGTGGCGGGTAGGGTTTGTAAAATCCCGACCCGCCCGAATATCCGAAATATATTAAATTATTTAACGTGTACTTTGAATATGTTAAATTAATAATTGTGTTCAATTATTTGTGTAATTATTTGTGCAATTTGTATTAAATTATTTTGTGTAATTTGAATGTGTAATACACTAGTGTGTTCAATTTTTGTCAAAGTGACATTCCAAGACTTTAATTATCCAATTATAATGTGTTTTAATATAACCGAAATATCTGAAATATATTAACTTATGTAGTGTGTACTTTGAATATGTTAAATTAATACTTGTGTTCAATTATTTGTGTAATTATTTGTGCAACTTATGTTAAATTATTTGTGTAATTTGAATGTTTAGTGCACTAGTGTGTAGAATTTTGTCAAAGTGGCATTCAAACACTTTAATTATCCAATTATTTATTTTAATATAACTGAAATATCTGAAACCCGATCCGATATCCGATAATATCCGACTTAAAAATATCTGAAAACCCCGATTTGAAATATCAAAGGGTCGGGCCAAGTATTTAACTTAAAAAATCCGAACGGGTTTAGGGTACGCAGACCCGACCCACCCGAACCCGACCCGTGCACACCCCTAATACCAACTCCACCACCGTTAAAATGGCCGACCAAGGCTTCACGATCCAGACTTGATACAACCTCCCAGTCACACCTCGTTCATCCGTGAACGCTATCTCCTATGATATGCCGCTCCAACCCCATATTGATAGGGGCCGCGAAAAATCTCAACCCCTACAAAGAAGGAAGACGGAGGCTAGGGTTCCTCTCTCTCTCTAGAGAGTATTAGACTAGAGTTTCCTTGAAAATCATGTTTTTCGGCTTATGAGATTTATCAGTTTTTTTTCACTAAACACGTAACTTTTGATTTCGCGAGTTAAATTGTGTAATAATAAGAAAAAGTAAGGTTGAAATTACTTTTCTGATTGTATTGGTCGAAATTACTGTAAAAGATATTTTAGTTATTTATTCATATCATTTTTAATGTTTTAATAATAAAGTATATTTTAAATATAATTTCTTACATAAATCAACATAATCAGCCAATCCAACCACTTCAATAAGAACTTCATAAATATCAGCAGAAGCAGCCGATTCAACCAAATTCAGAGGCCATTTGGCAACACTGTTTTCCGGCTTATCAGGCTTATCAGCCAACTTTTTCACCAAACACGTAATTTTTGCTTTCGCGCGCTGAATGGCGTAATAAGCAGAAAAAGTAAGATTGGAGTTACTTTTCTAGTTGTATTGGCTGAAGTTATTGTAGATGACCATTTTAACTATTTTTACATATAATTTTTCCTTTATTTTATCAATAAAATATATTTTAAAAAGAATTTTTTCTTAAATCAGCAGAATCAACCAATGCAGTCACTTCAGTCAGAACTTCATAAATTTTAGCAGAATCAGCCAATCAGCCGATTTTCGTGCTACCAAACGGGCTCTCAGTGTTATCAAATGAGCTCTACAACTCATGCATTCTACCATTTTTTCTGACCATTCTAGGCTATTGATTCTTTTTTTTAGTTGACCACTCTAGAAATAGAATGAAAGAGTAATAGTTTTTTAAGTTATCTATATATAATAAAAGTAAAAATAGATTGAGTTGAATAACTTTTGGGAAAAATGTCAATTTGGTTTTCGTGCTTTCATGAAAAGATCAATTAAGCTTTCATACTTTTCAAAAAGATCAATCAAATCTCCGAACTTTGTAAAAACGTTCAATTGAGTCCATTTGCTGGTTACTTGTCATGTTAGCAGGTCATCCACTAACGTGGCGCGCATGTGGTAGCCCAATCAGCAATAATTTTGCTGACATGGAACACATGTGGAAGTCCAGTCAGCCATTTGCTGATAATGTGGCACACACGTGGACCGCCATGCGTGTGCCACGTCAGCGGGTGACCTGCTGACATGACAAGTAACTTGCAAATGTACTCAATGAACATTTTTACAAAGTTCGGGGATTTGATTGATTTTTTTAAAAGTGTGTGGACCAAAATGACAGTTTTCCCGTAACTTTTCTAGTCGTGTTTAAAGTGTTTTTGACATTTTCAGTCCCCCGACTATTAAAAAGTTTTAGTCTTCTGACTACTATGTCACTGATATTTTTGGTACTCGATTTTGATTTTTTTCACTTTTAGACCTTCAACTATTGTACCAAAGACACTTTAAAAAAACACATTTAGTCCTTTGACTTTCATAAAAGTGTCATTTTAATCCTTCAACTATAATAATAATGGCATTTTTAATCACACTTATTGTGTCAGAATCATAGCGGAAGGGCTAAAAGTATCTATTTGATAATATTTAAGGGACCAAATGTGAAAAACTTTGAAGTTGGAACTAGAAGTGTCTCATACACAATAATCGAGACACACACAAAAAGAAAAAATTGAAAGTCGAGTAGCAAAAGTATCCCTGACACAATAATCAAGGGATCAAAAGTTACTCCGTGTTTAAACTTGTATGGTGTATGCATGGTTTTTAACTTGTATGGTGTATGCTAGGCATGGGCCGAGCCGGGCCCGAGCCGGGCAAAACCGGGACAAAAAATTTGGGCTCAAGGCCCGGTACCGGCCCGGGATTCTACCGGGACCGGTCCGGGTCGGGCCGTTTTTTTTTTTTTTTGCTTTTCTAATTTATTCCTACCCCCACCCCAAAACCCCGCCAAAACACCCAGTCCGACGCCTCTAGCAGAGGCCCAAACCCAAAAAATATAAATAAAAATAAAAGAAAAGAAATGGCCCGGATCGGTCCCGGACCGGCCAGGCCGGTCACTCATTTTCCACACCTGTAGCCTGCCTATAAAGCCCCATGGTTCGGGGCTTCAAGACCAGTGGACCGGTCCCGGTCGACGGGCTAGGCCAGGCCGGTGCTACATAGTACCGGTTCGGGTCGGGCATCGGGCTGATCGAACCGGTCCCGGTCCATCCCTAGCGTATGCATGCTTTTTACAGTATGTGTTGGAGTGTTGGACCCTATAATATTTATTAATGTATAAATCTCTAGCTATGTAGCACGGAAACTCTCGGGAAAGAGTACGTTTCCCGTTTCGGAAACTCTCGGAAACTCTTTGGAAACTCTCGAAATAAGCCTTTTTTGAGAAAAAGTTGACGTTTCCCGTTTCCCGTTTCCTCATGATTTTCGCGTTTCCGTGCAACATTAATCTATAGATATTTGTCTATTTATGGTGTAGGTTTTGTATTTACTGATTTACTCGCCTATTCGCTTTCCACCGAATAAGCAAAGTTGTATTCTTTGGCAACAAGATTTTTTTCCCTTTCACGACCACAACTAGGACCAGGTTGGGTCAGGTTCCGGGTCGAGATTGGGCGGGACAGGGACTAAAAATTTCAGGCCCGGCACCGGCCCTGGTTTGTACCGGGACCGGACCGGGCCAAGGCTAAATAGTACCAGGTTGGGACGGGTCTGAGCAATAAATTAAAAAAAAGTGCAATTGGGCACAGGACCGGGTCAGGCCGGCCCGTCCCAGTCCATCCCTACACAACAATAGTCCATCCCTACACAACAATGACGAGAGTTCTACATAAACCTTCTCTTTCGATGAGGTTTCGTCCTCGAACTTTTGTGACAACCTCATTTTCTTAAATCATACAATCCATATATCTTGTATATACTGGATGAATAAAGACAAGAAAACTTCCAAAACTGCACATCTTTTTACTGTATCGATTATTGAACCATGCGCTTTTTACGATGGCAATCAATCCAATTTATTTACAACAACATCATCATATTGCATCATTGCCAGCTTTGAATCCTTGCATCTTAATTCCCAATCCAATATATATAGGGGTTATGTCTAAAATAATACTAAAAAAAAGCTATGGACAGAAATGAGACCTTTTTTTTTCTATTTTCCAAAAATGAGACTGAAAATGGGTTAGGGGACTATTATACCCCTTATATTAATAGAATGTCACCCATTAGTGCCAAAGTAACGCCACAGTGACTAATAACATTATAGTGACCAAAATTCACCAGTGACCAAAAATCATTTGTGACCAAAAATTGAAAAATCCGTCAGTGACCAAAATCATTAGTGACAAAAAATTCTACCCAGTTACCAACATCTGTCCAGTGACCAACATCCATCGGTCCAGTTACACTAACCCGATCGTTAAATTACAGTTACCCAATCATCCAGTTATAGTTACCTGACCCGTCCAATTACAGTTACTTGACCCGTCCAGTTACAGTTACATGTCTCGTTTAGTTACAATTATCTGACCCGTCCAGTCACAGTTACCTGATCCGTTCAGTTACAGTTACCTGATTCAACCAGTAACAATTGCCCGATTCAATTCGTGACAATTACCCGACCCGTAACAGATACCCGACAAACAATTTAAGGTTATTCAATCGTATAGTCATTGCTGCGGGCAATATCCGTAGCCGGCAATACC